AATCAATTTAACAGGGATGTACTTGCAAAAGACACTCTAACACTAAGTTAGGCGTGTGTTTGAAGAGTTTCTGCTCACAAGTAAATTGTTATCACTATTTGAATAGAGTGTGAGTTTTTCGTAAGTAGAATGTACCTGACTTTTTACTTGGAGATTCGGTTAGTTATTCATTAACGATTTTATCAATATCTCTAATCAGATATCTTTAGTTATTTTAACCGTCTACTGGACTTTTGGCCAAATAATGATTTAAACAGTAATAGCTTAAACGCCGACCCAATTATGGTCCAACATTGATATAGTGGATGAACTGAACGATACTTAGTACTTAGTGTTAACCACTCGGTTTTGAGTTTACACCATACCATTTATATTATATTATGTATTATTAAATTTTATTATAAAAATTTATAAGTTATTTATTTTAAATTTGCAGGGGGTAGTAACTATCCGCGGCGGGTAGTAACTATCCGCGAAATTTACTATCCGCGGGTAACGGATAGCGGATATTTTAATACCCGCTTCTAAACGGGTCAGGTACGGGTAGTATACTACCCGCCTCGCGGGTACCCGTTATCCGCAAAAAAATAAAAAATAAATAATTTATATATTTTTAATTAAATTTAATTAAAAATAAAATAAAATTATAGTTTATTAGTTTAAATTTTATTAAAATTAAATTTTAATTTTAATTTAATTTAATTCATATTATATATATTTGTATTTTTATTTAAATTTTATTTTTAAAATGTATTAAATATTTTTTTTGCGAGTATCCGCGGGTACCCGCGGGTTTTAAAATATTTTTTAAACGGATACCTGACGGGTAACGGATCGGATAGCGGGTACGATTTTATCTGACGGATTGGATTGCGGGTAGGCACTATCCGTATCCGACCCGTTGCCATCCCTGAGAAAAACCTTTGAAAACAAAATCTCTACACCACAGCACCAGCAAGAGGAGCTTCTTAGATATAATAATTATGGCACTATGCAAGAAGTTTGTTTCTCTTAGAAATGAAAAAAAAAAAGAGAAATATCAAACAGATAGTAATTATGAAGACATGCATGCCATAATAATGGCAAATCTTCTGAGCAAAAACCAGATTATAAATTTTGATGTAATAAAAATCTGTAAGTATTGCTAAAGGTGCTTTGATTGTACTGTTATATGTATATTTTTTTTGAAATCATACAAGATTATTTAAAATATTGATTTAAATAGAAATTAGTAATTTTATAATAAAATTTTACTATAAATTTTGTTTTACAAAATATTTTTAAAAAAAATTAAGTTTGAATCACAAAATATAAGTTTATAAAAGTGTTTTTTTTGTTAAGTTAAATAACGTAAAATGTTTTTCTTTTATATTTCTTTTCTGCATATGCTAGCTGGCAATATTAAGTTTTCTTTCATAAACTTGTTTTCATAATTTTATTATTTCCATCTATATAATAAATTATCACTGAAAAATTAAGAGCTGTGTAATTCATATTTATTGGCAAATGCATGTACTAAAAAAATATGCAAAAATTGTTAAAAGAACAAAAATATTCCATATAGCCAAAAATTCCATGTTTCATTCACTGTCACAACACAATGACATATGGGTTCACTGGATTCAATGAAAAGAAAAAATTAAAGATAGAGAAAATCCATGTTATAAAATATGTTTGATATGACTACTAAGACTGTTTTAAATAAGGAGGAAATTTAATAGAATTTCTCCTTTAATTGATGAAATATTTCTTAAGAAAAATATTTCATTTCATTCTATCCAATTAACAATCCTGTTTAAAAGAGAAAATCATGAGAGAAGTGAAATTCTTGGAGAGATCTTCTAGAAAAAGAGAGTATTTGTGTTCCTACTTTCATTATAATCTTTTAATTGGTGTTATTCTTCTTTTCTTCTCCTATTATTTTGCTTTGGCGTAGTGCTTTGGTGTATTCCCAACACTTATCTTTTAATCAATCATCTGCACAATATTATTCTATGGTGTCTCTTTTTCTGATTGAACTTTGTAATGTGTATAATGGAAGATCCATGAAAAATATTTACCTTAATAGTAACAATTTTATTATTAGTGATAATAATTAATAAAAATAAAATAAATAAAAAATGTAAAATAAAATTTAAAATATTGATAATGGAGAAAGCATTCATATTTGAAGTCATAATTAAGGAATCCATTATCACTCCATTGTAAATCCATTATGCAAAAGGTGAATCCATTATGTAAGTGGTGAATCTATTATGTAAGTGGTGAATCCATTATGTAAGTGGTGAAATTAAAATAATAAATAATATTTAAAAAAAAATGATGAATAGTAAAATTTTGGACTATAAATAGCAAGCATGGAGAAGGCTAAAACTTGCACCAAATATTTAGAAAATTTTTGAGAGAAGAGAGTTGGAGGAAATTCTAGTTGCAAAAGGAGAAATTCTAGAAGTTTTCGAGGAACGATTTCTAAGCACGGGATTAAGTCTGGAATTGAGGTAGGGGAGCTAATGCTTCTTATATATGATTTTTATCCATGTTATGATGATGAATATGAGTTATGAACATGTTAAAATTTTGGTAATGGTAGTTATCTATTCACTTGTATAAATTTAGTTTTCATGATTATAATTTTCTTATTTTCGAGTTATTGTTGTAAATCTTTTCTTATAATTATTTTGACCTTTGGATTTAGCTAAACTTTTAATATATTAATCCTAAGACATATTTCTTCACTTTGGCCGTTAGGATTTATAATTAGAAGTCTGTACTTGGAGAGATAAATCCTGCATGTTTGAGTAAATTAATTACCCCTGTAGTTCTGTTACTGAATCCTCTCGGTAAAATATAGATTATGACTAATTTAACCGTTAGATTGAGCCCAAACTTTAGTATGTAGTTCATAAGACATATTAAGTCATCTTGACCGTTCTGATTTGTAATTAGATGTCTGTGCTTAGAGGAATTCGTTCCGCATTTTGAGTATAACCGAAAACCACTTAAAATTCTACACCTGAGTTACCTCGATAAAACCTCAATATCTATCTAGTTAACCGTTGGATCAACCTGAAATTTTAATATGTAGTTCCTAACACATAGATAATTACTTTGACCGTTAAGATTTAAAATCGGAGTTACAGATTTAGAGATATTAATTTCGCATCTTCCCAACGATGTAAATATTGCTAATTTCCGGTTTTGGACCATTTATACAAAAATTATGAGTTCTACCTTATTAACCGTTAGATTGAACTAAATATTTTACCACATGATCTAAACATGTTTTTAATTAGTTTGATGGGTTAAGATATTTAATTAATGATATGAGTGAAGAGTAATGTTTTTACGAAATAGTAAATTTATTTGAATTGAGTAAAAATCTTGAATAATTATATTCTTAAATTGTATGTGTAGTTGTATTTTGAAGAGTGGAATGTTTGAAATGCATAGTATGATGTGATTTATGTGTGAAGTATGTGAATGTATGAGATATGTTGGATTCACTGTGATAATATGATGGTATCTAGTTATTCATGTCTTGGGTTAAGTTTCAAAGTGACAGTATGATTCATGAACGTAATTCCATGATCCTCATGGAGAGGATACATGGTGGTGATTTGGGGGTGTATAGAATGATTACATGGTAGCTCAGTTTTTGGGGTCATCCTGAAACTCCAATGGTCTTTCTTCTCATGTAGAGAGGATTGAACCATGTGGTGAGGAGTAGCAGGAGGTCATAGTCTTGGGTGCTTCCATATGATCCAAGGTGAGTGATGACAGATTAACCTCGTGACTGTGGCCGGGCGGTAGTGCCCAAGTTTCATAAGGCGGTAGTGCCGGGCGGTAGTGCCTAAGTTTCATAAAGTCACCACGAGTGCAAGACCCGCCATAGCTCGGTAATCATTCTAGTCCGGACGAGTCGGGGTATAAAGTAACAAGTCTTGTGATGTCATTTTACCATGTGTATCAAAGTAATGGATGAGTATGTATGATGTGATTGTTGTATGATGGTGTGAGTATGTCTGACATAATTATTATATGAGGTTTGCATGCATGTTTTATAAATGATTGGTTGCATGTTAGCTCACCCTACTTGTTTGTGTTTGTTTTGTGTTTGGGTATGTGCGATGATCGTATAATTCGTTATACGGGAGCAGATGAAGGAATGTCGCCTCACTCAGTGCCAAGGAAGGGAGGAGTAGAAGAACTATAATTAGGACCTTTTTACATGTATAGACTTATATCAACTAGAAAATTTTAAAGGGTGAGATTACGGGATGTTACCGTAATTGTAATGTTAATTATCAAGTGTGACATATTTAGGATGTTACATATAACACATTACATTGATGTTGACATCTACTCAAAGTATCTCATCTCAAATCTCTTTAGTATGAAGCCATCTAATGATAAATGATTTATGGACGGAATGGTGTACATTATAAAAGATATATTATTAGTTTCACACTCATAGATTTATACACATTTTATATTCACTATTTTATCTTCCAATTTCATTTTTTATATACATAAAAATTAACTTTTTCAATAGTCAAAATCCTTCTAAATGTAGGTTATGAAGTGGTCAAATAGAAAACAAAACCTTAACAAAACAATTTTTCTAACAAATGGTCCTATATCACACTCAATAATTCTACATTGCATGAAGTTAAAATTTAAAACAGTTTAAATATTCTTTTTCCTTTTTTACTTTCCAAGTCTATTTTAAATACCCATTTGATTATTCTTCTTTTTTTTTTGTTCGGAATCATTCATGCTATCTCCTTTTCCCATTTGGTCAACTGAGCAAGTAGAAGTTAGGTGACAATGGCAGAGTTAATCACATGCTATAGAGATCCTAATCATAGTAATCTAATTGATGTAATGTGGGTCAACTTGATCAGACACTTTTCAGAAAATTGGAACTACCATATTTGACTAACAGAAATTGAACATTTCTTATGTGCTTCAATTGCTATCTTCAAACAATTATTCATCAGGTTAAGGACTAATTACAATATCCTCTTATCAGCAAATATAACAAATCCAATCACAATACTAGGATTTGCCAAATTTTCTCCATCAAAAAGCTTTTACATTCCACCCCCTTCAGCAAAAAGAACAGGGGAAAAAAATATGGTTACAAGAATTGAGTAAAAAGGACAAAGAGAACTACTTAACTATGACAAACAACAACCATAAACAATGGAATGAAAACCTGATTCATGTGTTCACCTAAATGTTCTCATCAATTGCCTGATATATGCACACCTAGTTAGAGGATGATCATTCTGCTAAATAACCTTAACTTTGTTTTTTCTGTTGTCACAATTCCCATGCATCATTTAGGATGAAGAGTAGGACTCTGCGTGTGAATAATCGCCACTGCTACTGAGAAAGATTGTAGTGCAGACAAGGGTGATTGAAAATGGATGAAATATAATCCATTATGAATATTAACCATCCTCAAGGAGGGGCTGGAATTGCTTGAATCCTGAAATCAGAGGGTCATATGTTCATCTCATTGCATAGAAAAATAACTCTCATTTGTTAACCAAACACTGACAGTACATAGAACATTACAGATGCATGCTGTCTACTTTTATACAAAATAGCAGCAGAACTTTAAGTGTCAAAGACAGATTATGGAATTATCACATCCTAGTTTTGGTGACCTTCAGTCAAATTGAACAATGAACATGGTGATTTCCCTACCTGATCAATTCATACAGTTAAAATATGAAATTTAAGCTTAATTCAATCCTACAAAACGGATTGGAAAGTAAGGATTACATTTATTTATATACTATAAAGTTACAAAGTTACCGTTATCTTTAATTGACGTAGAATCTCCAACACATACAATACACTCCCTACTAATTTTTGTGGAGAATAAAAAATACACATAATGCAAAACCAAATTCTTACAGTTTCCAACTAACATTTTCAGTTCAAAAGAAAACTAATCACAAAAATACAGGATATCAACATACCTGAGTAACTAATTCAATAGACTTGCGTTCTCCTTGCATATCTACATGAGACAGAAGGTTCTCATTGGTAGATCTTCTCTGAAGTACTGTTAGGGGACATCCCTCATCCCAGCCACCACAGTCACAGCACCCACCAGATTTCCATCTATCAATGAGACTGGAGGGACCACTATTTCTTGTTCTAGGTCCTCCATGAAGGCCTGCTGGAATGATGATGCTTGTGCTAGTTAAGGAAGCCCCACATTTTCGATTACAACTTTCAGAAGGAAATGTAGTTTGATTCACACCAAATTTGTTGAGAAATTTCATACCCCAGCCTCCTACTTTGTCCACACTTTTAGAGGGAAGATGGTCTTTGACCACAATGGCAGCCAACTCAAAATTTGGTGGAACATTAGATGCTAATAAATTGTTCTCATCTAGACCACATGATTGTTGATCCAATGCACAACTTTCTCTCACGGTTTTTGATCTACTGAACCTTGAGAGTGTTCTGTGTATAGGTGATGGAGTAGTTCTTAACACTCGTGATGTTTTCTTAGCCATGCCCTTGTTCTTTACGTGAGAATGATTTGAAGTGAACATTTCTCTGTCACAAATTTTACCATCACCAAATAGTATAAACCTTGTCTCCATCACTCTAAAATTTTCAGGGCAGAGGGTGAGACAGGTTGATACATTCATCTTACCAACAAGTTGCAAATTTCCCTCAGGAAACTCGCGGCCCTTCTGGCTTTTCTTGTTCAAGTGAAACAGGTACACATAGTCCAAATCCTCATCATGTGTTGTGTCTACCTTGCTCAATTTGGCTACATATACCTCATTCTGATCGTCTGCAGAAAAAACAAAATAAGGAACACCTTGCTTCCAAGTGCACTGAAGCATTCCTTGAGACACGTTAGAAGCAGCAGAAGACATCATCCAATCAAAGCAAGCAGAGTTATTCTTGGAAGTGCTTCTTTTATTAACTGAAATGGAACCATACTCATGACTTTGCATCATTGGTGTTTCCATTACTTTTCTATGAGAAGAGATACTAAAGCCACTTGGAGAATCCACAAAATCATAGCATATCATATTTTTAGAATCAGTCAAGTTCATGTTGTTCAATTTTTCATTTTTTTCTGAAGCACTAAACTGCTGAAGTAAAGGACTATTCAGTATATTGATCATACTTTTAGTCCCCATTACAGTGCCTAAAGTCCAATTCTCTGCTGCATCAGTACTATCAACTAAACTCTCAGTCATGGAAGCTACAGGCTGTGCTAAGACTAACTGATCCGAACCACCACTTTCTGCTGAAGTCCACAAGTTTCTGATTTCTAAGGATGTGCTCACCGGTTTGTTGTGCTGAGAAGCTTTCAATGCACTATTGTGCACAGATTCCAGACAGCGACGAAGATACATCTCATCTGCACTTGCCAGAAGCTTTGGAATCTTGTAGTGTCCATGAACAAGTAGAAAGAATAAATGCTTTGGGAAAACACTATTTTGTGATTGGATAGTGTTTTCAGACACGGCTTGCTGAGAAATTCTTCTTTTAGCCAACTTTTTTGACTCAGATGCTTCATATAATGAATCTCTTTTACCTTGACACCTTTTGTGAACCCAACTCAGTGTATTTTCCATCTTCTTCCTCTATCACACCACAATATCCCAGTGGCTCAAAAACCCTTTTTTAACCCTAATCTTCCTTCAACTAGAAACTAAGCATTACAAGAATAGCATCCTGAAAAGGAGGGAAAAGAACTGAATAAAAAGGTAGCATCACAAAAGAAAAAGCGTGAAAAACAAAAAATTCAAAAGATACAACTGTTTTTGCACAAGTTATGGCAGCATGGCACACAACTTTCTTACACTTAAAACAAAACATAAAAGAAAAAGAAACAATGGAATATACGCAGTTCATATAAATGCACAAGGTCAAGACAAAGTCCAAGAATTTCCAGAGTAAATTGCACATTGATGAATTTGTAAGGGTACCAAACCAGACAAATGTGCTTGAATGAGTTCATTTAAATGACAGTATCTGTTGTTATACTAAAGACAACACCAATAATCTTGCATTTCACCATCTCAAAACCAGAAAAGGAATGTCATTCAACATTCTAAAACAGAAGTAAACTGGACAATCAACAACATAAAGATGAAAAAAATAAATAAAAAGGCCAACTTTATATACCATACAAGAAGAACCAACCTCAATCAAAAGCACAGAAAGCAGAAACAAACTGAGGAGAAGTAACTGATTTTCAGACAGCAACACTAAAAAATGGAATGAGAATGAACCCACTTGAGAGGATGGAGAGCAGAAGATTGTGAGTGGTGGGAAAGTGGGAAACAAAATATCAAGACACCAATAACAGATGTGATGATTATAATATAATTTATAGATTTTATGCAGTAGTTTTGTAATCTTTCAAAAAATATGTATATATAAAAAAATGTAACTGTATTGGAAGAGGACATTAGACAGAATTGTAGGTAGAGTTAAGGGACAAAGAGAAAGAAAAAAACTAACTAAACTAAGTAACCCACAGAGTTAAGGTAATGGCATAACATAATGGAGGTACCAACATAGGTTTGGTAAGCCACGTTTGTTGGTTGAAAAATTGTACACTCTTGAGTCTGATCTGAGGAGGGAATAGAGGGAGAAAATTGCACACACACTCCTCAAAATCAGGGTTCTTTCGTGGGACCACTTTCTTTGTAACCATTCCCACATAGGATAAAGAAATTCAGGTACTTTACATGGTTGCATTCTGAAAAAACTATTTTGTACTCTCTGATATACTTGTAATGTAAATAAAATACAAATGCTATCGAGAAAATGTTTGATTAGTAAAAATCTAACAGGTATCTTATTGAGTAAGGATGTTTCTTTCTTTTCTTATTGCTTAATGATTATGATTAACAACATTGTTTAAAGTTTGCACTTACATACCAAGAAAACTTCAATTCCACTCTGTTTCAAATTAACCAACAAATCATTAATTAACGTATATACAAATACTGTGAATTAATAGTTTATTATTAGACCATTATAAATTTTAAGTTTTATATTTTCATGAGATGAAATTTTAAACCTAATTAGAAGATAAGAGCATGTTGTGAGAATTTAGTACATGAATAGATGGATGAGCTGGTGTGCATGATGGGTACATGAGTCCACTAGAGGCCAAAGCAGGTGGCACTTGCAGACTTTCAGCCTTTAAATTGATAATTGTTTTCCCTCTAATTTAATGCATGGACATCATGACATTGAACTTGTTGTTTTCATGGCATGTGAAGGAGAGAGAAAGAGGGATTAGGGTTAGGTTAAGTTGTCCATTGTTCAGATTCTGAGGAACATATATACTTTGGGGAACCTATTGACCCAACTTTTGACCACACCAAAGTCTGCATAATTCTGCAGTTCCACTTCTGCTATATATATGCATCACACATTCTTATTCTTCTTTCCTTCCTCTTTCTTCATTAATTGCTCATTTCATAAATTTCAATCTCAAATACAACATCAAATTCTCCTTTTATTTTATTTGTGATTTTGGATTTTTGTTTCTTTATTTTAAATTGTAATTTTTTCCGTTCTAGAATTTCTCATTTTGGTTCAATCAAATTTTTCATATATTTTTTATGGAATTTTAAATTAGTCTGACTTTACTTATTTTCTTAAAATACTATTTTCTTTATCTCCCGTTCAGATTAAATTGACTTGAAGTAAAGTCTTGAATATCGATTAATTATGCCGATAAAAAAATATATATTAACTTTTTAGGTTTATTTGACCAAATAACATAAATGAAATCAATTGCTTTTATATTTAATTATTTGGTTGAAATTTCATTTTTTTTTAAATATGAGTTGAGTAAGAATATATGCAAAATCATGGATAAAAAAAATTAAAGAGGAGCACAATTGTAATTTAGCCTAAATAATTTTATATTTTACATATAAGTTTTTAAATTTAATTTGGTCCACTTAATTGCGTGAGTCATTTTGGTCTTCATAGTTTTTGTCTATATTTAAACGTGTAACAAAAAAAATTAAACCATTAAATTATAAAAATAAAAAATTATTCGTACTCGAACTTAGAGATACCAAATTTACGACTACAAATTGCTATCATTTTAATCAATTTTACAAAAGTGCATAGAATTTTTTAATCCAATTGAATTCAAAATTACAGTACAAAAGAAATTCATTTAGCACATTAAAATATTAAAAATAAACATATAAAAAATAATTGAATAAAAAAAATAAAAGGAATAAATTCGCGAACTAAGAATTAATAAACGACTAAAATTACATTTGAACAATTTTTATTGCCATTTAATAAAATGAATAAACTTAATTTACTTGCATTAAGCAGAGGAGGGTGCAAAAAGTACATTCCAATTAAATTCATAGTTCCCACTAACACAGACAATCATTTAATGTTAGTACTTTAACTCTCTTTTTTTTCCTAGACAACACAGAAATAGATTAGGGATTAGGAGAAGGGTAAAATTTTTTAAGTGTTGCATGTGAATGAAACTTCTCTATCTATAACTTCAAATAACTTTAGCTCTATTTCATCATTATTAGGCCAATGGGGTCAAATGAAGAACATGCAATGGAATAATAGAAGCTCAGACAGTGAAAGATCTAACAATTCATCCGTACAAGTAAATTATTCAAAGAAAGATGGTATGGGATCAAAATTATACAAATTATATTTTATAAACAATATAAAACATGTTAAGATTATATTGTTATATTAGTATTAAAGATTTACAAGGTGATTTAGTCGTAAAATTAGAAAAAAAATGAAAAGAATTATGAATTTAATTTTTTTATTAATATTTAAGTTATAAAATAGATTTGAAAATTTTGAAAGAAAATGTGTGAATTTAATTAACTCTCTCATTAACTTTTCTTAATGAGTTGTTTTATCTTAGAATTTTCAATAAACTTTAAAGTTCTCTTATTGTTAAACTTTTCAACGGGGTTTTTAAATTCATTAGTTACGCTTTTTTAAAGGATCAACAAAATTCAATTTAAATAAGATTATAAATAAATACATACAATGAATACATCAAAATTACATTTACAAATAAATTTTCTCATAAAAATTTTCCAGATAAATATGCAACATTTTCATACAATTGAATAAAATTACAAACCGCCTCATGTCACAATTATTTAAGCTCCATTTATTCACACTAAAACTTTTTAAGTTGAGGTGAGAACCCTTAAATTGACTTAATTTTTTTTAATTTTTTTTTATATTATTTAATGTAGAACATTGATGAATATTTACTTAATGATCAATCATTATTTATAGCATTCAAGTTCGCAAGGATTATTTAATGTAAATTTTTTATGAATACTCGATTAATCACTTACCAACATTTATAACATTAAAGATAACTAACATTGCATTCAATTATCCTACATCTGATAATCAGTAAATTTATCAATATCTTGTTAAGCTTTGCAACATCATAATCAATGAGTTTTTTTTTTTCGTCTATCTCAAAAGCTTGTCATTCTTTATTTATTTGTTTTTTCAACCTCCTGCCATTGATGTTTTAGCTTAGCAACTTGGTATCCTAAAGAAATTAACTACCATAACTTAATTATACTTATTCCATCTAAGCATTTTTTAAAGAATTATTTGGCAGAACTTGGATATCATGAACAACAAATAATTGAAAATGAAAATGAATTTAGTTGAAGAATATTTTTAGATGTTATAGTTAATTAGGATGAACATAATTAAAGTATATATATATATATATATAT